GCCAGAGCGCTCGCAAACCCGAGTCAGTGGGCAATTACCATGTCCGCTGCATAAATTCGGACATGGCGAGTATCCCCCACGCGCGCGTCTCATGACGGATGTGCATATGAGGACGGGGGCCCAGCGCGCCATGACGTGACCAACGGTATTATGTACCATGGTAGATGTTGAGGCGGGGGCGGGTAAGATACAATGCTTGGTTCACTGGCGCAACTTAGGAATTATTCGGAGCTCTTGCTGCGCTCCCTGCCCAGCTTTCCGATGGCGCCGGCCGCGTCAGAGCGTCCTCTGGGTAGAGAGATAGAGAGATAGTAGCCGCGATGCCTAGTAGCGTCTCGGAAGGTATATGAATCAACACCCCGGGCCCCCGTTACACCTGGGGTTGCTGCTTGACGATTGACGGCCGCGCGAGCTCTGTCCGGTTCGACGCCCAGTAAACCAAAGTTACTCCGGATTTTGTGGCTACGGACGAAAGCGCCGTGGGCGTCTCATGGGCTGCGATGGGCGTGAAATCACGACTCGGACTTGCAGCCCCACATCGAAAGAAACGATGGACACAGCTCCCGTGCCCAGTCCCGTGAAGCACCCTCACCAGGCAGATACAGACCCCCTTGGGGTAAGATACAAGTCTGCTTGGTTTCCGTATCTCCCACTAGCCCGAGGCCAAAGGAAGCAAGGTAAACTCCTCCCTCGAGGGGGGGGCTGAGCTCAGTTGACTAAGATAATGCCAGAACGAAAGGAAGCTAACAAAATACCCAGTACCCTAGCTTCTTAACTCCGAATGCCCTGCACAAAGGGGGGGGGGTATGAAGATGCAAGGCACTATCTACGGTCTCAGGTCCGTGCAACGTCTGCCACATTACCGTCTCGCTAAATGGAGTGATATTAATAATAATAATATTTAGTACGATTGAACTCGCCACAACGATCGTTACTTGACCTAGTTTAAAACACTTGCCCGCGCCATGGACAGCCATGAATGTACTCAGCCAGTGGAAAGTCAACTAGATGAGACGGATGGCGAAACTGAGACTCTTTCTCCCTGGGGTCGACTGACACCAACGTGTGCATCATTGTCGAGCTCTGCAATTTATGAGTTCATTCCACGTTCAGCCCTCGGTGCCTTAATAGCTGACCACGAAGAAGAACTAGACGTATACATCTTGGGGCGAAACCAAAAATGCGATGTTGTCATTGATGACTCTAGAGTTAGTGGATGTCATTGCCGAATATATCGCAGCTGGAATAAAAGGCCGGGCCTATCAAGTCGTCTTTTGGCCTATGTAGAGGATACCAGCTCTAATGGCACATTTGTGAACAAAACAAAACTCAGGCATAGAGAACGCCGCTTATTGTCAAGTGGTGATGAACTGACTTTTCTCTCACCGAAGATTCCAGAAGCCCGCTCCACAGCCTACGTGTATGTTAACGTTTCTCACCTAAGCGCGGATAGCACTGTGTCGCCAGCAGTTGCTGCCAAACGATCCCTCACCTTGGCAGCTTCAGCCTTGGATAGGCGACTAGAAAATGACTATCAATTGTTTGAAGAATTGGGGAGTGGAACCATTGGAAAGGTCTATCGTGCGGTCGACCGTACCACTGGAGAGGCTTTTGCAGCGAAGATAGTGCCAACTAGACAATTCGCGCTTCAACGGTCATTTTGTGTTGAGGATTTGCTCCAAGAAGCCAGAATGCTTCGAAACTTGTCACATCCAGCAATAGTCAAAGTGTGTGATGCTT